GATTGAGCATTCAATGGGACGGAAAAGATCTGCTGAAACATAAATGAATCGAGTAGAACCAGTTCAGATATTCCAGTCTGTACATTGAGCTAGGGTTGGCTATTTCAATGGCTACGGGTGGTCAATTTGATGGGAAAAAATATGAGAATTCGAATTAGAGATTGAGGATCCAAAGGGATGGAAAAGATCTATGAAAGAATACTGAACCAGTTCAGCTATACCAGTCTGTATAATGAGCTAGGGTTAGCTGATCCAAAGGCTAGGAGTGGTCAATTTCATGGGAAAATAGATGATAATTCAAATTAGAGATGGAGGATTCAAGGGGACGGAAAAGATCTGCTGAAACATAAATGAATCGAATTGAACCAGTTCATGTATTCCAGTATGTATAGTAAGCTAGGGTTGGCTGTTTCAATGGTTACGAGTGGTCAATTTGATGGGAAATAATATGAGAAATCGAATTAGAGATTGAGGATTCAAAGGGATGGAAAAGATCTGCAAAAACATAACTGAACCGATTCAGCTATACTAGTCTATACAATCAGCTGGGGTTGGCTGATACAAAGGCTAGGAGTGGTCAATTTGATGGGAAAATAGATGAGAATTCAAATTCGAGACTAAGGATTCATGGGGACAGAAAAGATCTACTGAAACATAAATGAATCGTGCTAAACCGGTTCAGATATTCCAGTCTGTACAATGAGCTAGGGTTGGCTATTTCAATGGCTACGAGTGCTCAATTTGATGGGAAAAAATATGAGAAATCGAATTAGAGATTGAGGATTCAAAGGGATGGAAAGGATCTGCAACAACATAACTGAACCGATTCAGCTATACCAATCTATACAATGAGCTAGGGTTGGCTGATACAAAGGCTAAGAGTTGTCAATTTGATGGGAAAATAGATGAGAATTCAAATTAGAGATTGAGGATTCAAGGGGACGGAAAAGATCTGCTAAAACCTAAATGAAACGAACTGAACCGATTCAGCTGTACCTGTCTGTTTCGTGAGCTAGGGTTAGTTGATTCAAAGGCTAGGAGAGGTCAATTTGGTGGGAAAATCGATGAGAATTCAAATTAGAGATTGAGGATTCAAGGGGATAGAAAAGATCTCCTGAAACATAAATGAATTGACCAAAATGTATAATCAGCTATACCAATATGTATAATGAGCTAGGGTTAGCTTATACAAAGGCTAAGAGTGGTCAATTTGATGGGAAAGTAGATGAGAATTCAAATTAAAGATTGAGGATTCAAAGGGATGGGAAAGATCTATAAAGAGATAACTAAACCAGTTCAGCTATACCAATATGTATAATGAGCTAGGGTTAGCTGATACAACGGCTAGGAGTGGTCAATTTGATTGGAAAATATATGAGAATTCAAATTAGATATGGAGGATTCAAGAGGAAGGAAACGATCTTCTGAAACGTAAATGAATAGAACTGAACTGGTTCAGGTATTCCAGTCTGTACAGTAAGCTAGGGTTGGCTGTTTCAATGGCTACGAGTGGTCAATTTGATGGGAAACAATATGAGAATTCAAATTAGAGATTGAGGGGATTCAAAGGGATGGAAAAGATCTACAAAAACATAACTGAACCAATTCAGCTATACCAGTCTATACAGTGAGCTAGGGTTGGCTGATACAAAGGCTAAGAGTGCTCAATTTGATGGGAAAATATATGAGAATTCAAATTAGAGATTGAGGATTCAAAGGGATGGAAAAGATCTGCAAAAACATAACTGAACCGGTTCAGCTATACCAGTCTATGCAATGAGCCAGGGTTGGCTAATAAAATGGCTAAGAGTGGTCAATTTGATGGGAAAATAATTGAGAATTCAAATCAGAGATTGGGGATTCAAGGGGACAGAAAAGGCCTGCTAAAACATAAATGAATCAAACTGAACTGATTCAGATATTTCAGTATGTACAATGAGCTAGGGTTGGCTGATTCAAAGGCTACGAGTGGTTAAATTTGATGGGAAAAAATATGAGAATTCAAATTAGAGATTGAGGATTCAAAGGGATGGAAAAGATCTGCAAAAACATAACTGAACCGGTTCAGCTATACCAGTCTATGCAATGAGCCAGGGTTGGCTAATAAAATGGCTAAGAGTGGTCAATTTGATGGGAAAATAATTGAGAATTCAAATCAGAGATTGGGGATTCAAGGGGACAGAAAAGGCCTGCTAAAACATAAATGAATCAAACTGAACTGATTCAGATATTTCAGTATGTACAATGAGCTAGGGTTGGCTGATTCAAAGGCTACGAGTGGTTAATTTGATGGGAAAAAAATATAAGAATTCAAATTAGAGATTGAGGATTCAAAGGGATGGAAAAGATCTGCAAAAACACAACTAGAGATTGATGATTCAAGAGGGCACAAAAGATCAGCTAAAACGTAAGTGAAAAAAACTGAACATGTTCAACAATACTTGCATATACTCTTTGTCGTGAGTTAGGGTTGGCTGTGGCAAAGGCTTGGAGTGGTCAATTGGATGTTAAAAAAATATGATAATACAAATTGGAGATTGAGGATTCAGGAGTACACAAAAAATCTGCTAAAACAAAAATTAAAAAAACTGAATTTTTTCAACAATACCAGTCTGTACTGTGAGCTAGGGTTGGCCAAGGCGAAGGCTAGGAGTTGTCAATTTGATGTTTAAAAATATGAGAATTCAATTTGGAGATTGAGGATTCAAGGGGACACAAAAGATCTGCTAAAACGTAAATGAAAAAACTGAACCTGTTCAACAATACTTGCCTGTACTCTGTACCATGAGCTAGGGTTGGCTTAGGCAAAGGCCAGGAGTGGTCAATTTGATGTGATAAAGTTTGAGAATTCAAATTAGAGACTGAGGATTCAAGAGGACACAAAAGATTTGCTAAAACGTAAATGAAAAAAACTGAACCTGTTCAACAATACTTTCCTATACTCTTTATCGTGAGATCAGTAGCCTATGCCGATTGTCCGAGGCCTTGGGTGCTTGGGCGAGTTTATGAGATCCACGTGTCGTTGTACGAGTGGAGGGTCAGATATGGTACAAACAGAGGATTCAGGAGGACACAAAAAATCTGCTAAAACAAAAATGAAAAAAACTGAACTTATTCAACAATACTAGTCTATACTGTGAGCTAAGGTTAGCCAACAAAAAGGCTAGGAGTTGTCAATTTGATGTTTAAAAATATTAGAATTCAATTTGGAGATTGAGGATTCAAGGGGACACAAAAGATCTGCTAAAACGTAAATGAAAAAAACTGAACCTGTTCAACAATACTTGCCTGTACTCTGTACCGTGAGCTAGGGTTGGCTTAGGCAAAGGCCAGGAGTGGTCAATTTGATGTGAAAATTTTGAGAATTCAAATTTAAGATTGAGGATTCAAGGGGACACAAAAGGTTTGCTAAAACGTAAATGAAAAAACTGAACATGTTCAACAATACTTGCCTATACTCTTTATCGTGAGTTAGGGTTGGCTGAGACAAAGGCTAGGAGTGGTCAATTTGATGTTAAAAAATATTATAATACAAATTGGAGAATGAGGATTCAGGAGGACACAAAAAAATCTGCTAAAACAAATATGAAAAAAACTGAAATTGTTCAACAATAACAGTCTGTACCGTGAGCTAGGGTTGGCTAAGGCATAGGCTAGGAGTTGTCAATTTGATGTTTAAAAGTATTAGGATTCAAATTGTAGATTAAGGATTCAAGGGGACACGAAAGATCTTCTAAAACGTAAATGAAAAAAACTGAACATGTTCAACAATACTTGCATGTACTCTGTACCGTGAGCTACGGTTGGCTGAGGTAAAGGCTAGTAGTGGTCAATTTGGTGAAAAAAAATATGAGAATCCAAATTGGAGATTGAGGATTGAAGGGGACATAAAAGATCTGCTAAAACGTAAATGAAAAAAACCGAACCTATTCAACAATACTTGCCTGTACTCTGTACCGTGAGCTAGGGTTGGCTGAGGCAAAGGCTAGGAGTGGTCAATTTGATGTGAAAAAGTCTAACAATTCAAATTAGAGATTGAGGATTCAAGGGGACACAAAAGATCTGCTAAAACGTAAATGAAAAAAACTGAACCTGTTCAACAGTACTTGCCAATACTCTTTATCGTGAGCTAGAGTTGGCTAAGGCAAAGGCTAGGAGTGGTCAATTTGATGTTAAAAAAATATGAGAAATCGAATTAGAGATTGAGGATTCAAGGGGACGCAAAAAAATCTGCTAAAACAAAAATGAAAAATACTTAGCTTGTTAAATAATACTAGTCTGTACTGTGACCTAGAGTTGGCTGAGGGAAAGGCTAGGAGTGGTTAATGTGATGGGAAAAAGTATTAGAATTCATATTAGAGATTGAGGATTCAAAGGGACATAAAAGATATGCCGAAACATAAATGAAACAAACTGAACCGATTCAACAATACTTGATTGTACTCTGTACCGTGAGCTAGGGTTAGGTGAGGCAAAGGCTAGGAGTAGTTAATTTGATGTTAAAAAAATATGAGAAATCAAATTAGAGATTGAGGATTCAAGGGGACACAAAAAATCTGCTAAAACAAAAATGAAAAAAACTTAGCTTGTTAAACAATACAAGTCTGTACAGTTAGCTAGGGTTGGCTGAGGCAAAGGCTAGGAGTGGTCAATGTGATGGAAAAAAGTATGAGAATTCATATTAGAGATTGAGGATTCAAATGGACACAAAAGATATGCCGAAACATAAATGAAAAAAACTTAACTTGTTCAACAATACCGGTTTCTACCGTGAGGTAGGGTTGGCTGAGGCATAGGCTAGGAGTGGTCAATGTGATGGGGGCGCTAAATAAGACCAGAAAGTAGAATAAGCTGTGATTATGAACATAAATAGTGGATAACTTTATGCGTTTGTAGGAGTATTTAGTTGTATTATAATGATTTCTTTTTTTATTCTTTTTTTGAGATGGACTAAATGATTTCTTATTGTGTGACTTTTTGTAAATATAATTCTTGAATGAGGTCCTGAACAATTCGGATCATCAAATTGTATTGTACAACCATTGTTCGGATCATCAAATTGTATTGCACAACCTGCGATCCCTAGTAAAAATGGATTCCCTGTGAAGAAATGGGTTGTATATAACGAGAGAGAGAGAGAGAGAGAGAGAGAGAGATGGGCTCAAATAAGTTGTAACAAATAAGTTTGCATTTCGCAGCAAAGAAATAAAGAAGACATTCTCAACGCAATAAGTATTTCATTGCTCAATCTTCGTAGAAGAAATGCTTTTCAAGAACAGCAACGTTTCAACTGGATTATCTGGCCCCTTAAGCTCCACTCTTCCACCTGAAAGCAGAGCATAATTTCTAAATAAAATTTTCTGATAATGTTAGTAATGTGCAGGGTTTAGACAATATTGCATTCAAGAGGAAAAGACCAAAAAGATTGGCACTATCATGCAGCAACTCATAAAACTCGTAACTGTCAGATATAATATAAGCGGATTGAGGTGTGGCAAACCTGCATTGTATATGTCTTGGACAACATATTTCCACATTCTTCAATAAGGGCTCTTTCTCCACCAGTCACTCTGGCTAGTTCTGAAATCAAATTTTCTGTTTCTTCTGCCTGAATCACAAAAGCTTTCTTCATTAAAGCCGAAACCAATGCTAGATACATCAAATTCTCATTGAATCACACGATCTTCACAACCAAAATATTTATGTTTAATTAGAATTCAAAAGAACTGCATCCACAATATAAATTCTCCTTGTATATAATTAATTAAGTTTGAAACAATTCACTTAGGGCCTTTTCGTATGCTAGATAAAATGAAAACTAAAAACTAAAACCAAACTTTTTTTATTTAGTTCTAAAAGTTTTTGCTTTATTCATTCTCCTTCATTTCTCCCTCATACCTCCCCCCACCGGCCTCCTTCCACCATTCTCCATTTCCCTTTTCATCCATGTTATTCGTCTTTATCACCAACAAAAAGAAGGAAACTAAAAACCAAAAACAAAGAGGTTACAAAACGAGGTCTTATAAAAACCAAAAACAAAATGATTACCGGGGCCTTAGTTTTGCATTTGTATCCATCTATTCTTAAGCAATGCTGACTTCTATCAGCAAGCACCCAACCCTGTGCAGTGCGGCAACTCTCTAAAAAATTTGATTCTTAGAATCTAGAATAAACTTGTTCACCCTATTTGTATCATTAGATTTTCCCACTACAATGAAATTTTTCTTCTTGTCAGTTGTGCCATCACTTCTGATAAAAAGTAAAATATCCACTTGTTGATTGTCAAAGGAAAAAGTCCCCTAGTTATTTTACCTTTGCTGTAGATTGCTGAACTTGGAGATCTATTATCTCCATCACTTCCACTGCTGAGTTCAGTGCCTCTTTTAACTCTTGTAGATTGACCTACAAAGTATATCTCAAGTCAGTGTTACAAAGCAATACAAGAAACATAAGTTGAACATTGGTTACACAACTGAAGCCATAATTAAACGGAGGAATTATACCCTAACATTGCCACTGATTGGAAGTTGAAATGAGGCATTCGACAAAGCTTGTGTTGCTTCTGCCAGAGAACTTGAATGATCCCCTTGAAGAGCAAACCACTGGTCCAAATATGGAATCTAAGATAATGTCCAGTAGAATATGTAAGTTACAAACATAATTCAGTATTTCTTTTTGAATAAAACACGAGTTAAAATGTGGCTACTTCAATTTCTTAGTGCTGAACACCACGCTTAGGGTACATATGCCATAAACTAGAACAGCATATAAGTACCTCAATGTTAGACACACTGAAAGTGTGTTACAGTTTAATTCTTTTATATTTTTATTTAACAGCAGTCTTACTGTCATCAGACCACGTTATACATAGCATCTGCAAAAAAAGTTTGTGATCTCTGAGGACCCATAGCAATATCTCACTACTTGTACGTTTTATTCAACAGCTAAAATTTGCAGAATGACTGAACAACACAGATTGAAAAAGAGTTTCTAACTGCAAAATTCATATGCCATTGTGAATAAAAGCATTAAAGAAGATAAAGAAGTCCAGTCATAGGATTTTTTCACATGAATTCAAAATATACCCTTTCAGTCATCAATTTCTTAGAAATATCACCACAAAAGAGTAAATACCTCCAATGCTTTTGAAATCCTATAGTTTTCACAACTATTGTGCTTTTCTCTTTCACAGCTCCATTGCCTCAGAGGAGAGGATGGATTAGTGTTGCTCAAACTGGTTAGTATGACTTGACGAAAATTTATGAACTCTCAACTGAATCTTTCTGGCGAAGTAAGATGATATAACACCAAAAGTTACATTGCTATACAGATACTAGTCATATGAGAATGAAAGGCAAAGCACGATTCTTCATGGCTAAGTTGTGCTCAGCATGAAAGATCCAGTCTCCACTATATATACAGTCTACAAGCTAAAGATAATTCCTGTCACTTGCAAGCATATATCTTTTCTTGAAGGCTAGGTTACGAAATATACCTAACAAATACGTTTATGCAAGATATGGATCATTATAAGAATCGATGAAATTGCTAATCAAGCATATACAATATTACCACATGAGAAGTGTAAAGCAATCATGAAATTCTAGCAGCCTTACTTGAGCATCAAGAATTGCTGATAAAGTCTCTGTTCTTTGCAAAATGCCAAGTTCTATCCGTTTCCTCTTGACTGAATCATATAGTTCTGCTATCTTTACCGCAAGAGAATAAAGTGTTCTCTACAATATATAATAACAGAAAGACATGAGAAAGTTAATCAGCTGGAAAAGCAAGCGCTTTGTCCTTATCAGTTCGACTTAGAATCCACATTTGAGCTATAGAAGTGACAATCTTTTTTTAAGAATTAAAATCTAGTTTGACTTTTGAGCACTCAAATATGAGTTACCTCAGTTTCTCTCTGCTGTGCTCGCATGGAAGCCTCTGCTCTTGCATTGGTATATCTCCACTGCAGATAGCGGTTATGAAGCACTCTCAAGGAGTGCACGTCTTCTAGGTGTCCAGAAACTTTCTTTCCTCTCCTTGTATCTGAGCTCAGCTTTGCACTTGTAGATGGTGGGACAGGGGGAAGACATAAGCCACCCATCTTCCCTGTGTTTGTATATGGCTTGGACAGAACAGATGTTACTCTTTCACTCCCTTTGCTTGGCTGGAAGGATAAGATGTCGGAACTTGATAATGGCAAGTTCAGAGAACGGGAGCAAGGGGAAGCAGAACATTTAAAAAAATCGTCACTGACAGTGACAGTTGCATTACCCCTGCTGCTGCTACTTTTGTCAACGAGCTGTCTACTAGAAACGGATGGCAACAAATCGGCCTCAGGCATGGAAGAGCGGATATCAGGAAGACACCTTGTTGAGCAGCTTGGTACAACTGGCATTTGACTGTGATTATTGACATCGGGAAGTGAACTTGGTGAAGAAGGATCAAGTTGGGGAGCAGAAGTGGCGTCTTGGGTGTTTGCCTCAGTCTCAGTAACTAGATTGGTAGGTGGAGCAGGTAAAGACATCCCGCTAGACTGCAAGAGCTTAGCGGCTGCTGTGGCTGTGATGTTGGTAGACCGTTGCTGAATGAGTCTGAATCTAGACGTCCTATCTAGACTAGCAGTCACCATGGGTGTGTCAGGTCTTGAGGGTGTGGTAAAAGCATTGCTGCCTTTCCCGGTGCAGGTTTTTGTAAGATGCTGCTTCTGCTGTTGCTGTTGGACTTTGCCTCCTCCGTTTTCTTTGAATGGCTTCACAGGACGCTGTTTCCTCCCAGTATAATTAAGCATCTGTTCCGGTGGGAGAGGGATTTCCCAACTCTGACTCGGAGTGTGAATGGAGGAGAAGCCGGTGGGTCTGTTCTCGTCGGAGCAGCGGAAGGGCTCCAAGTCCAAGTGCCTCCGCCGCCTATTCACAGAGGAAGAGCGCTGCCTCGACTGAATTTCCGCAAGCGTCGAGCTTGGAGTTGAGATGGCATGTTGATGATGTTTCGGGAGGGGCGATTTGGTAGGCAGGGGATGGGGGAGATCACCAGTGGAAACCGCAGGAGACATGAACCTAGAGCTCACCTCCCTCACTCTTGGCCGCCGGTGAGCAGTCGGCGGAGGAGGAGGAGGAGGATGGGGAGGAGCGCAAGCTGCTGCGTCCTCTACGGTGGCGGATCCGCAACTTTCCACCATCAATTGATCCATATTCTTTAATAAACGCACAAATCAATCGAGGCAAGCACATATAACCGAATCTGAGAATAATGTTAGAATTCACCTAGACTCACAATTTGAGAATTCAGGTTAAGCCGTACCTTCTCCCGACCGACTCCTCTAATGGGCTCTTCTCCAATCCTCCGGTCCTCTAATATTGGTTGACCCAGAAGCCTTAAAGTGAAACAGAGCAGGGGGTGCAAATTTAGGAACGAAACAAAGAACTAGCCGTTGGCTGTTGGGGTCAAGTCCTAACGGTTCAATTTTTGAAATATTGGGCACCGGATAATAAATAAATAAAATAGGGGAGGATGGGTTCAGATGCTAAAGAAATTACAGCAACTCCATCTGCTGATCCCACCCCTTACTCTCGTTTTTCCCAAAAATTCCCTTTTTACCCTCTACGAACAAAGAAAACGGAAGGATAAAAGAAAGAAAGCTGTCAATGGCTTTTTAGGAGTGTAAATAAAAAAACAAATATTGTCACCCACCACCAACCGCCCACCCCCATCCCCCTGTCGGCGACACTCCTTCCTCCTTCGTCCACTCCCCTTGTTATGATTTTCTCTTTGAGCATTTTAAGTAAAACGATTTTCTCTTTTAGTATTTTAATTAATCAAGAGCATTTTGAGGAATTTAAATTACCAAATTTGTATATCACATACTTATGTGACGTATAAAGTGGACAACCAATAATACATCAATTAAAAAATGTCATAAATATATAAACGAAGTGGGGGAGTTTGGAAAACTATTGCACTCCGTCATATATCAAACTTACCTGTGTATCAGTATCTTCTAGTTATTATTGTGATAGCGAACTTCAGAACGCCATCTAGGCTGAAACTAGGGACGGAGATTTGTTCAGGCAACTACTACTCCTCAGGATTTGTCATATGTACTTGTACATTAATTTTTAATTAGTTTTAAAACACAGATCGAATGCATACTTGACCAGCTGAAGGTGAGAATAGCAGGTTATCCTTGATTTCACTGCAGAGGGAGAAGTCAAACCCCAATAACATAAAAAATCACTGGGGAATCCCTTGCTGAGCAGATTTCACTGCACAGCTGAAGAGTTGAAGATGTGAAAACAGGCAACACAAGAAATGGATTTTAATAATATTTAAGCTAATGAAGACAATCACACAATTTCAATTTCAAGTTCCATAAACAAGAAATTAAGAATTATACAGGCACTAAATGAACAAAGTTAGGTACAGATGATTCAATCCAGTATTTACAAATTCTATTAATTAGTACAAAAATTTGATATTAGTGGATTTGTGCCTTTCACCTATGAAGCCATTTTTATGACGAACGTCTATATACAACATTGACTTCATCTTTTACCATATCTGTTCCTGAAAAACCATCGACTTCTTTTACCATATCTGTTCCTGAAAAACCATCGACTTCTTTTACCATATCTGTTCCTGAAAAACGAATCACCGAGAATGTTGGCCATGACCTTGGAAACCCCCTCTTGCAGAGCTAGGCATTGGCTCATCTGTTAAGAAAATACAAATAACAAAAAGGAAAAGAAATTAAAATCATGAAATGAAATACTTGCTCAGATCATGGATAATGTCTTATCTCTTTATAGAAGACCAATGGAAGTAACTGGAGGAGATCCATGCCAGTTCTATCTTACCAAGCTCTTCCCCTTCATCACCATTCTGACTTGTAAAGAACGGTGTGAGGTAGTTCCGATCTAAAGCTGTGAATGACGCTGTGCTGCAAGAGAAAGGGTTGGAGGGTAGAACTAGACGCTTAGCAAATAAATCAAAGGTAAAAACCAGGTTCCTCTATGAAGGTAGCAACCAAATGTTACCTCTGGTGGAATTCCTTCAGTTTCATCTTGATCCTGTTTCCTGATGATGCTTCCTCGTTATAAGAAGGAGCAATATAGCCATTGTTCCCTTCAAAACTCTGTGGAAATATAAGCACAAATATCCAAAACAGTCAGCTTTGGTGAGTTGCAAGATCACAGTGATCATGAAAGTAGCATTGGTATCCTAATTCAACCACGTGATCCCATCAATCTGAATAAAAAATTTGGATGAGCAGGACTAGTTAAATGTAGCAAAATATAATAATATAGAATAGTAGGGGAAGGAGGGAAATAATTGGACAATCAATGGTTCAGGCATAGTAGGCAGTACGTTAAACATCTTTGCACATAATTGAATAGTGATCTGCATAGAACTTCAGAACATGATCCAAAATTGCTGGCTTCAGCTATAACTTTCTATGAGGTAATCCAAACCACTTCAAATTTCGCACCAGCAATCAATGACCATACATATGATGACTTACTCTCTCCAGAATAAACCAATCGTAGTGGTATAAAAAAAATTATTATTTGTGTCCCACTCTAATAAAAACTCCTTTAACAGAACTACCCAAACAAATGTTGTCCAGGCAGTCACTTTGTTGTTATCTCAAAGGAGCTTGTAAAGAGATAACTCCCCAAATCCAAACCTTGCACTCTCTGTCAGGAAGGAATGCACCATTTATTAAAACTTTCGTCAGCCATTATCTAAACAGAGAACACCAACTTCAGTAAACAACCAACTGTGATTTTCTAACTGAAACTACACTACCATATATGCAAGACACTAAACAACTTGAGTTGAGAGCTGTGGGCTGCAGACTCTGGGTTATGTGAGAGAGTCCTACACTGTCAGCGTTGTGGCTGGGTGCATGTGGAGTGTCTTAAGCACATCTACTGAGCCCTGTGACAGCGACAGAGACAGAAGAAAGTAAAGGACCCAGAACCCATGGCATTTGTATGAGCTTATAGAAGATAAGTAAACGTCTCTATGGGTGATCAAAATATTCTCACTAACCCTCTAAAGCTGGGATAATTATAGCAAAGAGTAGCCTTGGATGATCGGAATGACCCACATCAGTTCTTATCCTCTAGGGCTAACGTTACAATAGTATAATTAAATATCCAGAAAAAATTTTACAAGGCAACTGTGAATCAAATGCCTACACAGATGGTTAATCCGTTTCCTAAATAATTAATGTAGGTTCAAGAAGCAAATTTGGCTGTCACAAATACACAGAACTCTTTTCTTATGGTTCCTAGGATGCAAAGAATAATAAGTAATTAAGTAGAACGTATGTTTTTTTTTCCTTTTCTTGGAGCATATGAACTTACTTCACCCAAAGTACCCTCAAGGCCATCACCTACAACTTGTAAAGCTTCCAACATGGTACCCGTTGAACCTCCAATTAATAACACCTACAAAATGATCAGAAGGTTACAACTAAATCACAAGAACAGTATCGTATGCATCGTACAAAACAAGTATACTTGAATCGATTTTTTTTTAAGGAAATATCTATTCAAGAATCGTTGTCATTCATCTGAAAAAAGAATACATCATATCAGTAATTCCTGATTCCTGATATGCAAGGTGTAAAATAAGTAAGTATATTTATGTGTACGTCCAAGATGACAAACGAAGCTGCAATCAAATATGTTCAAATAAGATGAAAAAAAGCCGCCAATAAGAAAACGACTTCATTTTGCCTTCGGTAGGGAAAATGAAAGGATAGGACCAAGTGACTTTCCATTCAATAAGAGGCTAGCATAGTCATTTAAAAAAATTCTTATATCACATGGCTTTCCATTCTGTCCACAAGGTAGGTCTTCATAAGAAATTCAGAGGCAATTAGTCTAAATAAAATGGTCTACGGCAGACAATTCAGTTGTTTTTCAGCATAAGCAAAGGTATTTTGTTTGTTCCAAACAAAAATTCAGCTCCCTTTTGAAACAGAACCATTTCAAAGAGACATCTGCCAGTGCAAGTGCCAGGGTATGGATACAGTGAAACAGAAACAGAAGCGCATAATATTGACAACAACTTTTTATTTGGGCAAAAAACTTCTACTTGCTATCATTAAGGGCATGGAATGCAATATTTTGACAAAGTGTTATTTAGATTCAGTTCATGATTAATATTTTAACAAAGGGCAAGACGATGTATGAATCTTCAAATATGTTAGGAAAAATATGTCCTCGATATTCAGAAATCAGTTTGTGTACCGTCAGAACAACTATGGCAGTGGTTGCAGTGAATATAGTTTGGCCATGTCCTTCTGGAAGATCATGAACTGATTGCAGAGCGAGGGCAAAAGCCATTGCCCCTCGAAGTCCTACTCAATCCCAAAAATTCATTAAAGACTAATAAAAGTCAAGGCATTCAGAAAGATCAGCAATTTCTGCTTTTCTTACCACTGTACCAAAGTGCTTGTTGGTGTTTTAAAGGTATCTGTCTATGTGCAGGTCGAACCAAGTTGACCAAATATGCACAAGAAAAAACATTAGCTGCCCTGCACAAAGTGATTGGACAGACTGTTTAATAGTTTTCATAACAAAATACGGTGATTTGATAATGGAAAATGAATACTAAAAGTCTAAAAGTATTTTAGGAAGTTAAAGACTAATAAAATAAGCTTGTGACAAGGGGCCCATTGTAGCAAACAAAAGGATGCGTACCTTGCAACTCCAATAAATATCTGAGGCAATCCCACACCGAGTTAAGGAATAAGAGCAAGTTTCAGTTGCCAGGGTATCACCGAACTTTCACATTTTTGAAAAATTATTCAAGGATACAATTGAGAAAAAAATGAACCCAACATGTGACCAGCTATGTTGTTCCATGGCAATATCAAAGCCCATGTATATAAATCTGCAAATGAATGTTTTCATTTCAAAACAAGTGTGGGGTGTCATGTGTAAAGAACAGTTTCATTACTTGATATGTAATAAAGACAATGAAGAGCTCTCTTACACAAATGTCTCCGCTAGTGATGATATCAAATGGAAAAAGGAAGAAACAAATCGTTGAGAGTTCTCTGACAAATTTGAATACGTGTAATGCTTCATGACCTAAAACAGAACACCAGTGTTTCCATAACACAGATTTAACAGAGGATATTTAATTAAAAAGAAAAACTGTACACTTTTACTTACGATTCCTGTGAACAATATTGACACAATACCAGACAGTCCAAGACCTTCTGCAAGCATGTAACTAGACAGAAGATAGTGCTACATCAATTTGTTTATAAGGAGAAAAGGCTTACAACTAATTTACACAAGAAGAAAAAACAGTCAAGAAGATCACTTACGAGAAATATGGAAAGAGGACAAAAAGACAGCATTCCAGGTTCTGAAGACTGAAAATATAATGAGACAACCATGTTATTCCACTGCAGTGGTAACTAAGCTAAGGTGAGCAATGAACAGTAGAAAAGTATCACTCACTTGTCAATATCCAACCCTGCATACTTAAAAAGGTATTGACAATTAAGGTTTCACAATACAATCTACCAATAAAAGCTTTTTTAAAAGGAAACATAGTGCAAGAATTATTGATAAAAAAGGATATCAAA